CACAGAAAAATTTGGTGGGGGTGTGCGGCCCGCTTCCCAAAACCCTTGCCCTATTTATGACCAGACCAAAAATGTGCTACTCTATTTGTGACCGCTACAGTTGACACAGTTGCCCAAAACATAGTAAGTTTGAAGGGCTTTTGTTTACGGTCTTATCGATAATGATGAAAAAGTAGCTTCTTCTGAACAACATACCCAATTCAAGACTAGAGTACAAGAACCATACACTATTTAAGACCAAAATGGCCAAAATAGACACGTCATTTATGACCAAAACGGCTGAAAACCATACCCTTTGGAGGCCGCATATACCTATATAGCCAATATAAGGGAGCACCCCCCAGGGAGACGTGTTGGATCGTGATTCAAACAGTGCAGGTTACAGCGAACTGTTAAGACAAAAACCCTGATAAAATGCTAATCCGTTGAGAGAAGCAACTTCCCTAGCCAACCAGAGTCATTAAATTTTAACTAACGACACGCACCGATGATCCTTGAGCTTCTTCTGTTAGGATATGAACGGATTGGTGCCCTTATCTACTGAATTACTTGCGCTTTGTATGTAGTGATTACAGTTGAATATGTCACTTTGAAGAGATGCTGGATAGCGGGTGGTTTTCATTGGACCAAATATTCCGGTTTGAACTTCGGGAAAATTCCAGCTGCTAATGGAACTGAATTCTGCATTCTGCAACTTCCTGAAAGGGCGAAAACCTCGTGAGGTATACCCACGCAGATTTTCCAAAATCTCCCACCGATAATTTCCTTTCCATCTAATTATCAATCCAACAATTTCCGGATTTTTCGAAGAAAAGGAAGGAAATTCCAGGGAAATCTCCGCTCTATTTGCTCCAGTATCAAAAGGTCTGGCAAGTTGGGTCGAATTGAAAGCGCCCAGGGTTAACTGATAGATATAGCTCAGAATTAATCAAAGTTTACCGTTTAAACTGTCAGCTGACAACTGACGCGCTTTCGACTGATAGCCGAGTTGAAAATTTACTAGTAGCTGATAAATGAGCTGAAATTTTCACTGACAGCTGAGAAAACTTCCCTAAAAGTGATCTGCATTAGTATTTCATTTCAAACAAATCTTACAGTAATTAGCTACGAGGGTGCCAATTAGTTTTGGAAACAATCCGGCTGTCAAACAGAGCAAAGACAAAGCAGATAAAACATTACACACAATCTACACACAACGGAACTACAGACAACCAGATCAGTACCCTAAAAGTACCTTTTAAAAGATTCGGAAATGATCCCGGAGGACGGGGGGAGGGGTGACTCCCATATAGAAATGACAGGGGTGCTCGTGGTACCTTTTAGGGGTTATAAACACAGTTTTGGTACCTCTTCGGGTGTTCAGCCTCAAAAGGTCCACAGCGGGAGCTTTTGCAGTAACTTTTAGGGTATTGAGCTGAAAAAACATGACAGGAGATAATGTGTTATGTAAGACTTGGTAAACCTCTTAGGGGAGAAAAAATAATTCAAACCACACCCCCAGAACAGGATCTTAGTACCTCTTTCCAGACATGCCGGATATTCAAATAATCAATTAAGCGCTTAAAGTTGTTTGCGTAAGAAGATTAAGTGACAGCAATGGAACTGCAACTTGGACTCATACCCCTCTTTCCTACCTACAACCAGTTGGTAGTCGGTTTCTTCTGCAGTGTAATTTTGACTTAAAGCTACTTAAAGTTGCTATACCGATTGAGTTTTACAAAGAAGCTCTGTGCGCTTGGCAAAAAATTACCAAAAAGCAGGTATTAAATGAAATTGTTTGGAACAACCATCACATTAAGATAGAAGGTTATTCCATTTATTACAAAAAATGGCACGATGCTGGAGTAACTAAAATTGAAGACTTTTTTCAAGGTAACAGATTCCTAACTTTTGAGGAATTCTGCAGCAAGTTCAAAATTAAAACACACTTCTTAAACTATTTCGGTCCATGTCACGCAGTCCCTCAAAATGGATCAATATTCTCAAAGGAAATGTTACTGAACCTTTAGAAAAACGTTCTGAGAAGGATAAGATATCTTTTAGATAAACTCTCTTACAGATCAGCAACTAAATTCTTTGTTAAGAGTAAATTCGTTACGCTTACAGCCGAAAGAAGGATGAAAGAAGCCAGTGTAAAAGAACATACAATACAACTCATTTATAGCCTTCCGTTTAATATTACCAAAGACACTAGACTCGCCATTTTCCAATACAAAATAATTCATCGCATTCTACCCACAAATTCGACACTTTTTAGAGATTCAATCAAGGAACATGATAAATGTCATCTCTGTGGAGAAAGACAAACGTTAACCCATCATTTTGTTACCTGTTCCGAAGGTCGGCGTTTTTCGTCTCTCTTTACTAATTGATGAAGTTCCAAAAACGGAGGTAGGATCACTCTCGGTAAAAATGAAATAAATATATGGCGTGACAGACAACTTCGCTCGTCATCTTGGCTTAAACCTCTGCTTGATTATAACCAAATATTATTTATATACTGCCTCGAGAAAAGAAGAAGAGTGTTATTTCGTTGCGTTCTTAGCGATTTTGACAAACAAAATTAAGATTGAGAAACATAAATCTAAATCACAAATCAATATGTGAGAAAGCCTCCTATTGTAGCTAACTCCCTATATGAGAGTAATGTAAGATATTAACAAATTGTAAATAATGTTAGTCTTGTAAGTTTTGTTGGTATTGTTAAATTGTAAGTTACGTTAACATTGTAAGTAGAGTAGGCATTTTTTTTTCGTATCTCATGTAATGTTATTGCAATAAATTAAAATAANCCCCCCCCCCCCCCCCCCCGGGAAATGGGAAATGATCCTCAGTGTAAGAACCAGATTAAGAAGGAACACATATTTGCTAATAAACCTTATTAAAAAAAAAAAAAATGTTCCTGGAACAATTTCCATTCGATCAAGTCTTTGAGTTAAATTGCCGGAAAGATCCAGCGGCGAAAAGATTAGCATTAATTTTTCGGTTGACTGCACCGGGAAGCAGATAGAAAATGGCAGATTGCCAGAAACTTCCGAAAAAGAGGACAACCTCGCGAGGTATAGCTGGGCCTTTAAAATATTTCTAAGTGAAATTTGCATTTTCATGATTGAATTACGTTGAGATACTTCACATTTAATTGAAAAGCTTTTGGGTATTTCCTGGAAATTACCTAATATAAGTTCCTTTCCCTGAATTTCTGCAATTTTTGATGGAGGGAGTTTTTCATTTCCGCAGAAAATATCGACGTCATTCTGACAACACGAGGAATTGGTGAACACAATTCTGGCATTCTCTTTGGTTACCAGGAATTTACGCGCACATACCATCTGTCAGTCTCGACGTCAAATCAAAATTGGGAATTGCGACTCCCAGACTACCCTCTGGGTTGGGTGCACGTGGGCATCACGTGGAGTAAGCAATGGGGATTGCGCTTCTATCGCAATGGTGTCCTAGCTGCCGAGTTAACGAGCCCAGCAAGTCTTCTATACCACTATGGCGATATATTTACAACGTTTACGATAGGGCGGGATAGATCTCAATCAGCTTTAAAACGGGAAAAGCATCTGCAGATTGCCGATCTAAGAATCTGGGAGTCGGTCATTCCCCAACAGAAAATGCAAGAGCTTTATGGTAACACAAGTAAGTAACCAGAAACTAAAGTTGACCTTCAAGAATATTTTCTAAATTCTGCATTTAAAATCAAAAATCAAAATATTCCTAGCTTCGAGGCGAGCAGTTTCCAGGCATGTCACTCAAACAGATGAAACAAATACTACAAATGTAGCATTTCCTTCAGCCGTAGCACTATGATATTACTGAAGTAAATAGTTCCTGGAATAAACGAAACGATATAGTGAACAGTATTCAGGGATTTCATGTTAGCGTGTACCGCGTATCATTAAATCTGCCATTGGTTGTAAAATAGTTAGTAAGTTCAAATAAATTTTCTGAGAGCCAATGAAGATTCAAGTCTATTGGGTTTGTTATCGTATCATTTGTTTTTATTCATTTAAGCGCAAATCTACAAGGTGTTCTATATTTTATAGCTCTTCCTTGGTACATGTGGAAGAACAGCGGCAATCCAAGCTTCCCCTGGAAGCTCAAACGTGTATCTGCAGCCGATCATCTGAGCCAAAGTTACGACGTTTTATCTCGAGATTTAGGTGAGAATACGAGGAGTCTTAAGATACTCCTAGTTGCAGCCCAGCCGTTATGACCCAGACATGGCGGGCTCGCTACTGTAGGGGATTGAGTGGGATAGCGAAGGAGGTTGGGAGACGGAAAGCGCGACAAAAGCGCAGAGCGAAGCCTGTTTTAGCTAATCCCTGAGGGGAAACGGTAACGAGCCTGTGTAAGTCTCACGCTGAGAGCTGAACTCATTCCCCCAGAGTAGATAAAGCCTAATGTGATCTGCGAGCACGCTGTTAGGAGGACTCATTCCCCCAGGGTAGATAAAGCCCAATCTGATCCCTGAGCAGAGACCCTAATCTAATCGCCCAGCTCAGCGGGAAGCCCGATCTAACCCTCGAGCAGAAATCCTTCTTGCGGGCCAAAGCTTTACAAGCCTCTTGCACGATGTACTCAGATTCTCAAAATTCGCCCAGAGCCCCGTTCGGCAAATCTTAAAAAAAAAAAACCTTTGGCACCTTCGAGCCGTCACGTGCGTATCCTTTCCATATATATCCATAGGTGCTTTCGCAATTTGTTCGGGATGAAATCTACAAGCTTACCCTTCGAAGCGGGGCTTGGGTTTAAAATTAGCAAGTCTCACCTTAAGTTTGAAAGAACGGCATGCTACTTATATGTTCCAACCCGATAATGTTGTTAAAATTGATGAAAAAGGCAACAAAGCATCAGAAAGGAGCCACGTCACGGTTTGCGCATCTTGAAAAGTTTAACCTAAATTTATCAAGTTCGTCGTTTGTAAACCGTGTCAATCTTCTCCATCCTTAACCATTCTTGTTCCTTTATGGCTTATTATTATCTCTTTGGTTTTTTTTTTTTTTTTTTTTTTTTCCATTTTACTTAACTACTGTTTTCAGGTTTCATTCAATTTAAAGGTACTGAATTTTGTACCTTACCAAAATAACTCAAAATGCGGTGATTGTGCTCCATTAATAAACACAGAATTAATTTATATGAGTTCAGATAGCATATGAAACCCACATCTCATGTAACTCCTTTCGTTCTTAGCATAATACAATCAAATAAGTTGTTTAAGCGGCAGGGGTAATTTACAGAACGCCGAATGCCGAGTGCACTGTTTGCGGTCTGCTTTTATTTGTTAGGCAGGGCCATATGCAATATAATGCTGTCCTTAACAAGCAAAAGCTAACCGCAAGCAAACATGAGTGAAACTACTAAAACGCAAGGAAACAGTGCATTTGGCGTTCGGCGTTCGGCGTTCGGCTTTCGGCGTTCTGCAAAATACCCCTACCGTTGTTTAAGAACAGAATCAGGACCACCAATGAAAAGTCTAGAAATCAACGACCCAGCATATTAAGCCGACTTCTCATGTTGCCTCCTTTCATTTTCAACAGAATACAATCAAATAGGTTGCTTTAGAACAGATTCAGGACCACTGATAAAAAGTCTAGAAAACAACGATCCAGTCTTGGATGGTGAATACACCACTCGTGAAAAGAGCGTTGAGAAATGTCTTAACGCTGCCCGCAGGAAAGGAAACAAGATGTTCGCTTTGAAAAACGGAGGAGAGTGCCTGTCTTCTACGGGCGGCCATCTTGACGTTAAAACAACATATGAAGAGTCTGATGAGTGCGTGAATGACAAGGGAGGAGTTAATGCAATGAAAGTATATATAATAAAAGGTAAGCTACAATCTATATATACTGAAAGGTAAGTAACTATTCAAGTAGTTCTAGCGAGTTAGATTAGTCCAGAGGTTACAGACGTTTTAATGCATCCAAGACATTGAACGTTTATAAATATTTTGAAATCCCACAGAAGAGGGGTGAAGAGTATACGAAACAACTTAAGAAACCGAATATTCTCTAATTAGCTGGGTACTTGGATGCCAGTATCGTGTAGCAGAGTAATGAAATAAAGCTGGAGAATATGATGCTGGAGCTGGTTCGAGTTTTCAACCCAAACAGTTGAAGATAAATGGAAACCTTCCACTTGAAGCCAACTGATTTCGTGTAATTAACAAGTTACTAGTGATTGCAGACGTAAATAAATTTCTCTTTACAGAAAACGACAACGCCGCCTACAAGAAACCAGCTTCCCAGTCAGGCGTAGTTAAAGATCCTTCCTTTGCAACAGATGGCAGTCGCTTCAATTCACCCACAGAAACCTGTAGCCTAACCAGTTCACAGAAAGACCCGTGGTGGCGAGTTGACTTGGAAAAGGAAATTTTAGTTCGCGATGTACACATCTATATATTTTCTTCATCGCAAGTGAATTACGTGCTCGAGATAAGAATCGGAAATCATGATGAGCCAGATTTAAAGGATAATTCTTTATGTGGAAAGTCGTTTCGTTTTAGGAGGGAAGCTTGGCGAAGAGCTCGTTGCCCTATCCCACTGCTAGGAAGATTTGTCACCATAACCAGGCTCGTGGATAACGGAAACTTAATGCTGTGTGAGGTTGAAGTTCGACCAGAAGGTAAGCTTATAATTAAGGGAAATCTTTTAGGATCGAAATTGTGACATCACAAGGAGACTCTGCAGGAGTTGTGTAATTTGGAATGGAGGCTTTTTGTCAATATTTTAATGTCAAATTTCTTAACCGGCTGATTAAAGCTTTACGTTATGCTGACCAGCATTTTGTCTTTTGTTTTTCAGCAACAGATCACGTCCAAACAAGAATGTCTTACCCTCGTCAAAGAGGTGATCTCTCTGTTCTCGAAAGTCATTATGTTGTGGGAACAGTAAACTGTTTAAGCTTTCTTTACTACATATCTGGAGAGGATGTTGGCAAATTAAATGTCTACATTGTTGGACAAGATGAAGCGACATCGTTGCTGTGGCGATTGGCTGGTAACCAAGGAAACGAGTGGCACCCTGCTCAACTACCTGTTAATGCTACCGAAGGTTTCAAGGTTGGTTGGACAGGGGAGAAAAGCTTCATTTTTCTTGTTTAATTTAGTGTTTAAAATTACCTGCTTTCTGTACTGCTTTTTTTATAGATTAAGTTTGAAAGTGTAAGTGATGATGGAAGTTCTGGAGAAACTGGCATCCGGGATATCAGGACAGGGGTGAATTCTAGTTGCACATGCACTCCGCTTCGGGCATGTGCAAGACTGACAGGTGAGGTTACTAGCCCTTTGCCATTAGCCGTCCTAACAAGGTGGGGTTGGAATATATAATTAAGGTGATCGACACTAATAGGATTAAAAGTTAACTCAAGTTAGGTGAAACTTTTCAGTGTTCTCCCGAAATTTGACGCCTTTGGTTCATCTTCCTCGAATTCTGCACTCCGAAGGGACAAGCGGTGTCATCTTGCAGTTGCTTCAGTATGACCGTATGTCCTTGAAACGGTCCCACAAGCCACTGCAAGATAGGACTCGCCCAACATTTTGTCCCGTTTCTTAATTGGTGAGATAGAAAGCAAAAACGTGTTTCTAAAAACGTTTTTGAACTTCGTTTTAAGACAAATTACTTGCAATTTTACCATGGCAGCTAAATGTTCAGTCTATATAAACAAGAGCCTCCATTTGGCGCGAAAATATGCTAGGACATTTGTCCGCAGACATTATCTGTTGCGAGAAGCGAACAGTTTGCCGACAGCGTAGCTCGAGGGAAACTGTGAGCTTCGAGGAACAGATAATGTCCAAGGACAAATATCCGAGCATATTTTCGCCCCAAATGGAGGCTATTGTGTTTATTATTCTTCGAATCTTTTTCGAAACGCGCGCAGTTTTGAAAAGTGGGGAATATTCTCGGATATTCCCCAGTTTTAGCTGGGGAATATTCGTTCACGTGACGCGTTTAGACCAATCGCGCGCCAGCGAAAATATTTGATGGATTATAACACCTGACATATGGTGAAGATAACAAGGAACTTCAGTATATACTGCTTGTTTGAAACGATTAAACAAAAAGCAGCTAAGCTTTAGTCAGTCATTGTGATCTTTATATAAGATTGCTTATACAAAGTTGAACCGATTCAATAATGATTGCAGGATTTCACTCGGCTATAATCGGCCACATACCTAGTTATCAGGACCAGCTAATGGAGTGGCTATCTGAATCAGGATTTGGCGATAAGTACTGGAATCCATGCTATAGAGGAACAAAAGATGGCTGGTCAAATGCTAACTTCCACAGTAACTGTGATAACAGAGGCCCTACAATAACTTTGGGAAGAAAGGATTCCTTCATATTTGGAGGGTTCTCTGATCATAGCTGGAATGGTTAGAAACAGACCACTAACTTATCTTTACCTTAATTAAACTCAAGTTTGAATTTTGTGGTGCCCTCATTGCCCTCAGAGTGCAAAACCTGAAAAAAACCTGAAGTCATGGGTTAAGTTGTCACGAAGAACACTTTAGAATTGTTAAAAGAAAATACTCGAATGTTACCCTCCGCTTCTCTTACTTCCGTTTAGTGCGCAGTCGGAAAGTAAACTGTGGTGCATAGCAACTCGCTGTCAAAGTGCCGACGAGTTCTTGACTTTGTCATTTCTTATTCAAATCGCGAAAAATTAGCTTGCGGCTTATCGAGGTACAGAAGTACTGTTGCTAAGCAACACCGCTGGTACAAATTACGGACTCAATCAATTCTCACATACAGAGTTCGATTCTGAAACTACAGTTCTTCTATTCCTTCTATTTCTTGACTCATTATTGATAATGACATTTCGTACTGAGTCTACTCCTGCATTTGTACTTTGCTACTCTGTTGATGATACTTCTTGCTCCTGTTCCAGCGATTAATCAAGCTCAAAACGTCCCTTCAAGCAACGCGTTCCTTTTCAGTCTAAGTCCCTTCAACCCGAATGATGGGCCTAAAAAGCTAGCAGTGTTACCTGAGAAGAGACACCAGGCTATTAGGAGGTACAAGCAAGGCGGCCCTTGCTGGGGAAAAGATAAAGACGAGCTATGTTTCAACAACCAGCAGGTTACTACAGAAATCAATGCTAGTGGCGTGTACGATGTCAGCGGAATTTCCAATCCCACTACATATTTTACCGGCGAATCTTCCTTCCAGGCTGATGATGTTGAGGTCTTTACAATTGGAGGTAAGAATTTAAATTGATTCAACCTAGCAGTAACAGTACTGTGATGTACAAATGTACTGTGATTTACAACCGGGTTCTATATAAGCTCTTACAAGTAAATTTGTTAAAGAAACCCTAGTGTGTGACCATCCATATGATAGCTATTGAGTAGCACTGTCATGTTGTACTGTTTATTATGCTGTACAAGGTGGTTCTGTTTTCTAGTCCGCTCCGTGGATGAAACCCTAGCCTGCGGTGCAGTCGGACAAAATCCTCAAAATACAGCGGTGTAGACTGTCTACGACGCAGGCTTATGAAACCCTAGTGTTTGTCCATTCTAATGAAAGCTATTCTGCAGTAAATTTATGTGGTATTCCTTATATGCATGTTTATTGAGCTTTTAATTACGTCTGACGTGTAGAAAGACGGTAAAGCTAAGAAAGTTGGGAGAAAAGAAAAACGAATCTTTCATGTTAATTTCAAGTTTATTATTCTTTAGAAAAGTAAGCTGTGAAACAATAAGACAACGTTCCATGGTGGTCCCGCAGGATCATTCGGGATTGTGCTCTCTCCAACAGAGCAATCTGATTGGTTGATTTTTGTTATTGAACCTTTGAACAAAGTGGTCATTTAAGAAAAGAAAAAAAAAATTTTTTTTTCGTTTTAGCCACTTGACAAGCTTGTTATATTTTATGCTGTTTCATCAGTCAAATAAGTCCGCTATCCGTTTCTGGCAGATTCTTTGTGCGATCCACCTTGCTTGGAAGGGGAAAGCTGCGATGAAATCGCGGGAAAATGTGTTTGCGATCCAACCAGGAGAGACGAGGAAATGTGCAGGCGACGGCAAGGTAATCCTTAAAGTACCAAGCAAAACAAAGCGTATCGCTTACTTGAACTTGCTCGAGTACATTTTGAAAATTTCCAACTTTCAATCACTTCACTAGACCTACGGGCATCTAAGTTCAAATCTTAAGGATCTGATTGATCGGCCCTGGCACTCAATTCCCGTTTGCTTTGTAGCAAGCGACTTGAGTTATTCCTACTCCCGTTGGAAAGGATGATGATGTAACTCGATATCCAACTGCAACTTAGGACTACAACTTTATTATGACTCGCATATTTACAATTTTACAGAAATATATACACATAAAGTTAAAAAAGCTTGACAATAGCAACAGCGCGAACCCGCAGG